TTGCATTGTGTAACGTTGTGTGTCATTATTTTTTTTTTCTGGCTGATGTTTTTTTTTTTTTTTTTGAAGTATATTTTTCTATAGAGCGCTAGAAGTATATCATGACAACGATACAACTCTGGTTTTTCTTTTTTTTGTTATTTATTCCTCTGGTGGAGTGTGAAGATTTGGTTACGTTGTTTTTCACGAGGAAAGTGACCCTTCTCGATGTTGGATATAAGAACTTGAGTTCCAACTTCAATAATTTGACCAAGGAATACATTGATGGTGCCATTACTCCATATGAAGTAACTACCAGCTCTGTTGTGGTTCCCCCACATGTAGTCATTATTGCTAGCGCCTGGTTTTGGGGAACTCCAGCTAACGTTACGACCTCTGTTAATGCTCTTAATACGATTTTTGACAATTGGGGAGTCCTACCAGACATGGAGTTAGTTCATAACCTTAATGAATTATCTCTGAAAGAGTTTGGAAGACAGCCAAGTAAAGTGGACTTCATAGATGATTGTAAACATGATAACCAAGGTATCAGTAAGGAAACCTCTGATTATGGTTTGAATAACCTCACGCTTTCAATTGTGATGACAAAAAACCCCTCAAACAATTTAGTTAATCGACTTTGTCGCATTTTTTCGGTGCAAGATTGCTCTTTTATAACATTAGACAGATTCTGGTTTTCTGATTCATCATACAATGCGGAAGTGACAGTGACAACTTCTGACAAAAGCCAAATTCTCTTAGAACTTCTTGATCATCTTCATTATGCTTCCATTCTCCTTATGGAAGGGATTATTTCCGTTACGATTTCTGGAGTACGGGTGTACACTTGGCAAGAACCACCGAGACTTACCTACGAAGGTGATGTCACTTCTTGTGTTAAGCATTTTTGGTATTTGATCTTTTTAATTGTACTATTTCCTTTGGTATTGATAGTTGGGAATAGATTGTATGCCTTAGGAAAGGAGTCTGGAAAGAAATCGACCCGTTCTATCGAATGGGAAATTCGTGGCGGCGTCCGCTATCAGGGTCAGGTGGGGGTGCAGCTGCCTCCAGGAGCTTTTCCAGGTATTTCCCCTGTAAATCAGTATGTTGATCAAAATGGAGTTCCTTTTACAGTATACAACAACCAGATGGGTGGGACGTCATCTCAGCAAAGTCAAAGCGTGTATTATGATCCGAACAACAATTGGCAGTATTACGAGGCAGACCAGGATCAGCAATTTTACCCTGTTGTTAATCAGAATCAGTAGAGTTACATGAAGAAAAAAAAAAAAAAAACCCTAAAACAAAATGAAAAATGCAAAATAACTGTACTAGTATTATCTCCAGTTTTTTATTTGACAAGGGTTTTGTATCAGAATGTGTTATAGGCACCATTTTTTTTTCCTTTTGTTTTGTAATCTTGTGTGACTGCGAACAAGATGATTTAGAGTTTTCTTCTTTTCGAATTTTCTCCTTTTTCTGCAGCTGTTTTTATTTTATTTTTTATTTTTGCACGATCAGACTAGGGGATTTGTGTTCGATTTCTTTTCCCTGCTTGACACTCCTTTCACATTCTTCTTTTTTATTGAATGATTTTTTTTTTTTTTTACTTTTTTTTTCCCTTTACAAATCTGTTTCTTCTTTTTGGAATAGAACACTGGATACTTCCTGCTTGTAGTTCGATGATTCGTATTGGAAAAGTCTTTCTATGTTCTACCTCCATTCAACATGTCTCTGGCACAGTCACAGTGTCAAAAGACTACAGGAAAATAGAAGCTGATGAGAAACAGCTCTTGGAGGAGGAGGCAAAAAGAAAGGAATACGAGAAGTATCCATTACGTTATCGTTTGTTGGAGTGCAAACCCGGATTGCCGCTTGCGTTGACAAAGTTAAAATATCTTCTCGCTTGTCGAAGAACACATCCTGATGCAGGTGGCGATGCTGAGGCGTTTTTGCGTGTGAGTCTTGCCTATCAGGACGTTATGAAAGATTATGGTGTGGAGACTGTGGAGAATAAGGTGGTTAACTTGGGCAATTTTCAAGTGGATGATCATGAGGCACGAAACTACTTGGAAGCACGTGCACAAATAAAGAGTTTTATACCAATTTCTACATTGGAGGATCATATTCGTCAAATTGAAGAGGTCAGGGCACGATTGGGAGACCATTTGGCAGATAGAATAGCAGCCAATGACGATGAGGCTATGTTGCTTCTGGAGGATATTGAAGAGATTATGGAGGAGAATGGTCTTCGGACTATTCGTCTCGAGATTCTTGAGGATGGAACAGCTCAAGTAGAAAAGGTGAGTCTCACTGATGGTACTGAAAAACCACTTTATCTTGAAAGTAACACCAGTCCAGTGGGAAAACAACGTAGTAGGGGTGATATTCCTAGTGATAAAACAACTACTGAAGGGGAGAAGGAAAAAAAACTAAATGAGAATGATGATTCAAATACTAACTTGGGAAAAGATGCAACAAGTAGCCAGAATACTCTCCGCACGGCAGAGGTTAGTGCTGATGATATTGAGGTTCTTACCGCGAAGAATAAAGTACAAGATCGTACGGATGTTGCTGGATTGGCTTCTCGGACAGCTACTGAGGTAATGCGAAATACAGAGGAGGCGAAACAAATCCGTCGTGAGTCTTCTGTACTTTTTGTTTATGTGTTATGTATTTTCTTGCTGTTTTACGTATACATAGAAGGATTAATGCGTGCAAAATCACAACAGAAAAAACGTCCTGAAGTAATGGAACACGTCACAACGGACACAATGCTTCCATGGTGGGGAAATGATGTTGAGTACGAAAGTCAAGTTAAAAGAATTTTTGTTGAGGAGTGGCGCCGCGCCCGTGCGAGTTCACGTCGCGTGCAGACGTTTCAAGATGGAGTGGCTCGTGAATCTCTGGATGAGCGTGATAAGAGAGAAATGGATCTCAAAATATTTACAGTGACAGCAGAACGACTTCGTGAGATGAGGGAACGTGTAGAAAAGCACAATGGACGTCAGTAGATGAAGGTGTGATGATAGCGTTGATGTTTTTTTTTTTTCTTGTCTTTTTTTTTTTTTTGCAATTTTGTACGGTGCTCTTCCCCGTCATATCTTCCTCCTTTTCTTTTTTTTTAATATTTCTTTCCTGCGATGTCGTCTTTATGCCTAGTCGATATTGTACGCTCTAGCGTAAAAGGCAAACGGTAATATTTTCTTTTTTATTTTTATTTTTATTTTTATTTTTCTTTTCTTGGAGATAATACACTGAAGTAAAAAAAAAAAAAAGTGAAAAAGATAAAAAGATAAAAAAAAAAAGACGTAGTTATGGTTCTAGCATATATCTTTGATGGGGAATCTCTTTACCAAGTGTACCGTGAAGGTGAAAGTTTAAAATGTCACTCAGTTGTATCGCCAATTGGACGCGACGCTCTTGTGGCCTGTTTTGGAGAAAAAGAATTTTATTTTGTGGAGAAGGAGTCACCTGATGTGCTTCGTCGCTATAGGAGTTCTGTTGGTTGTATGGAATATGCACTACCTGGTCCTGTACACAAACTCTTAGTTCACCATGAAAAGGTATACTGCTGCGGTGAAAAATGCCTTTATGGCTTTGATCCTCTTAGTGGTGATGTAGAAATATTTGAATTTCACCAAAATGTTTTAGATATTGTGGCAGCAGGTCATGGATTTGTTTTTGTTAATGATGTACAAGAATTGTTCGCTTTTCATTTTAATCAAGGCATTACAAAGGTTTCAATAGAAAGAGGTGTAGTTGATCTACTGGGTCGTTACAATCATTTTGTTATTGCACTTATTAATTCTAATTCGATTCGTTCTATAGATGAAAATGGTGAAGTTCGAGAAAATTTGTTTCCTTTAACAATAACCAATCGTTTCATTTCTGTAGAAGAGGGTTCTATACTAACTAGTCAAAAAGGAGGTCAATTATGTCTTTACTCGCAAGATAACTCTTTGGTAGCAAGTGGATTTTTTAAAGAGGGGATTCAGTTGCTTTCTGTTCCTCTTTCTCAGCCTGAGGATTGCTGTTCTATTTGTCTTGATGATTTTGAAAATGACGCAGGTGTAACGCTTGATTGTGGACATCGATTTCATAAAGATTGTGTTGCTGAATTCTCTTCTAGGGCAAACTCTTTTGAACAGAAGGGAGAACATGTTGTGTTTACATATGCTGTTTGCCCAAGAGGTTGTGGTTTTCACATTCGTCACACTGCTGCTCCACTTTCAGCCTACATGGGAACTCTATGGCGGGCAATACATTATGACTCTAAATATAAACTTCGGGAAATGCCAAGCAAAACAGTCGAAGATCTATTGTATTACATTTGCCATCGATGTAAAAAACCATTTTTTGGTGGTGAAAAGTGGTGTTTTCGCTCAATGTCTGGTGAACCTCCCAAGAAACCAACCGAACTTTTATGTTCAGATTGTAATGATGATTTTATCTGTCCACAACATAAGCATAACTTTGTACTGTATAAATGTCGTTACTGTTGCAATCCAGCAACTCATATGTCTTTTGGTAACCGTTATTTGTGTGATCGATGTAATAGCCGATGGGAGAATACAGAACCAGAAATAATTCCATGTCCTGGACCGGATAAATGTCCACTTTTGGGCTCACATGAATGTGATGGGTCATATCCTCTAGGGTGTATGCTTTGTATGTCATTAGGTGCACTAGGGTCTTGTCTTTTTTCTACTGTCTAACTTGAAAAAAAAAAAGAAAAGGAGAGAAAGAGAAAGAGGATATAAATATATATTATTAATTATTAATTATTTAAAAGGAAAAATGAGAAACAATTTTGTCTCACAATAACTTATACTATTAATTATATTCATTTTTATTTTTATTTGGGATGGGTGACCAAAGCTCTAATAGAAAAAAAAAAAAAAAAACCGAAGCAAAAAAAAAAAAGCTTTAGTTAGGTTGAGTATTCAAAAATGTCAGGAAGAATTTACAGATTCTTTACTGGTAAACCACAGCCACAGTGGGTATGGGATCTGGCGTTGGAGTTTCGTATCCCGGGTCTCTTCTTAGCTTATGTTGTTTATGTTAACACTCGCTGCTACTATGATGCTTTGAGTGCGTATCAAGCTAATTCGAAGTGGGGGATGACACATGGAAAGCTTTTGGAGCTTAAGAAATTAAATTATCGCTACATCAGCGTTCCCCGTTACGCGGTACGCTATGAGTACGAAGTGGATGGAAAAACATATGTATCCACGAGAGCAACAACCGGATCTCCTTATAGAAGTTGGATGGAGCGTTTTTACAATGATACTATTACAGAGTCTGAGTATCTTCAGGCGATTCCCGTCTTGCGTGTAGGCGAACGTTGCACAGTATTTTATGATAAGAAAAATCCTGGTTCACATTCAGCTCTTGCTCATGATGCCAACTCTTTCGAAATATCTATCCTGAGCTTCTTCGCTGTATTTCCCATCCTCATGGGTTACATGATGAAATCACATCTGTGGATGATAAAGAAGGCTTACATGCCCAACAAGACGATGCGTGTCCGTTTTCCGCCGTCCGCCCGCACCCAACCTCCACCACCACCACCACCAGAGGGCGCTTCACAGATATCGCCGCTTCCCAAACCGTAGAAAGGAAAGAACGAAAAGAAAAAAAAAAGTGATAAGGTGACGAACGAACTGCACACAACTGGGATACATCACACTCACTGTCTGTTCACTTCAGTAAGAGAAAACGGAGATATACTCCGAGACATATACAATTATGCTGAATTGCGCCATATATATATATATATATATATTATTATTTTTTTTTTTTTTTTTTTTGAAGTCTTTATTTCTTCTTATTGATATTATTATTTTTATTGCTTTTCTCGTTTCTTATTTATAGCATTTAGAAGTAGAGGGAAAGAAAAGGCAACCAAAAAGAAAAAAAAAAAAAAACAATGTCTGGTGAAAGTGTATTTAATCTTATTGAACCAGAGGTGGAAGTCGCTCCCCCACAACCGCGTCACAAGTCCAAGTTCAGCGGAAAGCGAGCAGCGCCGCCAACAGCGTCCACATTTGGCATTCACGGCACAAGTGCGGTTGTGGCAAATATGGGCGGAGAAGTAACGGAACCATCAATTCACCCGGCGAAAAAACCGATTGGGATCTTTGGGCGAGATGCCGCCTCCACTGTGAATCCTGAAAACTTTCTCAAGAAGAACGAAGGTCCAAATACGGCAAGTCGCGGAGCACCAACAGTAAACAATACAAAATTTTTAAAAAGTACGAAGGATATTGTTAAACGAAAGGATGATATTCCTAGTAGATATGATAAACCTATTATGGGACTAAAAACAGACAAAAATTATGTGGTGGCAAATGCTGTTGAAAACGTTCTTGCTATACCCACTAAATGCATTCCTCCGCCACAGAATCGTGCAGTAGATCGCGTCGACTTTGGTAAAGTACCTGCTTATTTGGAAGATATTAAAGCAGAGATTGAAGAGCGCCACGCCTTAGTGCAGAGGCTTCAGGCTGCGCAACGTGAGGAACAAGAGAGGTGGTCTGAACTTTCATCAGAGGAACTCGAACGGCTTCGACAAGGATTGCAACGTCGTTGGGACTTCCTTAATTCAGAATACCAGTCTAGAGGTTTTAGCAAACTGCAAACCCCCTCACAAAAGGCCCATCATGAGGCAATTGGGAAGGAACTTAATGCGGTAGAGTTTGCAATGCAGAAATTAAGCCGTGCACACGTATTTGTGTATGACGACCAGCGATAGATTGTATTTTCCAGTCAACAAAATATGCAAAGATTTATTTACCTTGAATTATCAATTCTGAAAGACCTCTTTCAAAAAGAAAAAAAAAAATGTGGCGCGAGTTACAAAATAGGTATTTGGCGTGTAGCTAGTCATGTAGATGAGTGGTACCACCAAGGTATATGTATAAAAGGTTGCAAAGGTCATAAAAAGAAAAAAAGAAAAGAAAACAAATATACAATTTTTTTTTAATTTTTTTTTTTTGGTGTAGTGCTCTTAAACTCTTGAATCATTTATTTTTCTCTTGTATTTATATCTTGCTTACTTTTCTTTTCTTTTTTTTTCCTCGTATTTTGTGCTTGTTGAGGAGTTCCTATGAAGTTTCCTGCGGTTAGGGTATTGACAGATGATTTTCCACGACGTACTTACAAACCGTCAAATTTAGCTACAATCGATGATATCGTTGTGAAAGGACTCCATTATGGTCAGCGCAAGTTGCTTCTTTCAGAAATTGAGTTTCTTTCAGCATATATTGAAACTTCAAGGACCCCAAAGAAACCGTTGCTTGTGGTATATGCTGGTGCAGCTAATGGGTCTCATCTTCCATTCTTGTTTAATCTTTTTGAAGATGTAAAATTTGTTCTAATTGATCCTGCTCCTTTCTGTACGGCAGTGCAAGATATCGCAAAACGCTCAAAGAAGCATATTTTAGAACTAGTGGAAGGATATTGTAGTGATGAGTTATGTATTCGCCTATCTCGTTCGTATCATTCGGATTACAATATCCTTTTTGTTAGTGATATTCGTTCTGGTGAACCTAAGAAGCAATCTAATAAGGAGAATACGGCAATGATTATGCGTGATAATGAAATGCAGAGAAGTTGGTGTTGTTCTCTCAAAGCGATGGCAGCAATGCTTAAGTTTCATCCTCCATATCCTCGATGTAAAGATCCCAAATCACGGAGTTATGATGAGAATGATGACACCCCTGACAGCATTGAGTACATGGATGGAAACCGTCTTTTCGGTATTTGGGCTCCAAAATCTTCTTCAGAGCTGCGTTTATGCGTACAAGGTCCTTTTACTCCTGGTAAAAAGATAGCTATGCGACGTTATGACTGTACTTTACATGAAGAGCAATGTTATTTTTACAACACTAGTGACCGCTATTCCCGTGATTGTGAGGCTGAGAAAAATGTTTTGCAACGCTACCTGAAACTCTTTCCCATGGCGTTTTCTGCAGACGTAGTTAAATTATCAAACGCTATTAGTGAATTCCTGAAGTTTCCGCTTTTCCGTCCACTGGATCCATCGTTTACAGAGAGCGATGCACGTTGGGTGGCTCTCTTGTATTCAACACGAGATGCTGAGAGTTTGGTGTTGTTTAAGCCTTTACGTGGTCTTATAACGTTAAGTGTTATAAAAGAGTTGATAAAAACGTGGCGCGATGCGACGTCTGTTCCCGAAAATGTAAAAATTGGTTCTGTTACACTTTCACGTGAGTTCTGGAAGGTTATGTGTACTGGTGATCTTGTAGAAACATACAATCTACCACGTACTCGTTGGGGCTTTGCGCACGAAATCATCTCGCGCAAGTTGAAGAGGTCGCATAGCGAATGTGTACCCTCCAAAAAAAAGGTGACGAAAAGAAATAAAAAATGAAAAGTGGGGTTTGATACGGTGGCAAAATAGACGTTTTAGAATAGTGATAATAATAACAATAATAATAAATGGAGATAATTAATATCACCATTATTACTCTTTCACCCATGTTTGTTCGTAGAAAGAACCTTCTGCTTGAGTCTAAATCATTTCCTTTTCTCCTCTAATGTTTAGTGGCTCTGCAACGAAGAGAGTATATTAGATTCTGAGAAAGACTCAAGAACAAAGGTGACGAGAAAAAAAAAATAAAAAAAGGGAAGAAATATATATTTAAGGAGAAAAAAAAAACAAAAAAACAACGAAATAAAGTGAAACAACAACAACAAAAAAAAAAAAAACGAATAGGTGTTCAGTAGCAGATAGAAACAAATAATAAATAAGCAAAGAAAAAAAAAAAAATACAAAGAAGAAAATGCGCATTAAACTAGATGTTGAGTTACAGGAGGTGGATATGAGAAATCTTGCTCATGTCCAGCAGGTGTTAAATTCATTTCCAGAAGGTGTCGAAACACATTTGGTCACAGACAAAGAAGCCCTTGCACGTTTGGTTAATAATGCATTGACGAAACGAAACTTTGAACCAATTATTCGAGAATTTACGGAAAGACTTTGCCACAATAAATTATATGAGGATACCCTAGATGTGCTTTGTGGGGCTATTTTTAGCTCTCAACGAGTGGAGAGGGGAGATCCACTTGATGGGTTTATTGCCCTTTTATCACAGCTTCCAGAGGCTACACAGGCGACTGCTAAAAGGGATATTGTTCAACGTGCCATGACTTTTCTTTCCACTCCACGACGTCTTGACTGCAGTAGAATTACTCTTTTACCTTATGCTGAAGTCATTGCTGCCCTTACCAAAGCAGAAATGTTAAATGTTCGAAGTGTGGTTGTTGCTTTAATGCAAATGATTCGCCTTGACATTACCAGAAGTGCTGGAATAACATGTTTAGGAAAGATGGTAGAAGTTGCCCATGAATTGCTCTTGGAGCGTTTAGATCAGCATACTTTGGATACATTGCGTTCTACTGTGGCCTTTGCTCAACAAGATGACACTTTTTTATATGATGTTGAGTATATCATGGAACCATTTGGATGGAGCCAATCACAAAAATTTATTAATTTCGCTGTTCGACGTTCTGGGGCTCATCACAGTTCCGCCATTTTGGCCTTGGCGTACGGTGGAAGTACAAGTTCACGTGAGGCGGTAGTCACATCTTCTGTGGATGGAACTATTGGTACATGGGATCAATATGGTGTTCTTGCAGAGAATCTTGTTCTCTCACGTCACTATGCTTCATCTATGGATCTTGCAAATCGTGGCCGTACTCTCATTGTAGGCACAGTTGGAAGAAATCCCACCGTGGCACCAGCCATTGTTCTCTATTCAGCGGATTCTCCCTATAATGAAGAATCAAATTGGCAAGAAAGCTGTGGAGCTGAACCTCGGGGAGCTCGTTTTATTACAACTGTTCGAAGTCTAAGAAGTGCAGGAACGTTACGTTACTGTTGTGGGGTAACAACTAATACATCCAATACGATGATACTTTATGACGCTACACAAGTTATTCAAGAATATAATGATCACAATGATATTATATCTGCAATGCATGTAATTCCAGACAGAGATAATACTGTTGTTACAGGATCAAGAGATTGTTCAGTTATGGTTTATGATCTTCGTATTCCACAAAACGCCACAACTACTTCTGCTCATCGTCATTATAGTACTGTTACATCTATTGGAAGCTGTGGTGATTGTCTTTTTACCAGTGGTCTTGATCGACGTGTCGTAGTACATGATCTCCGTATGATGGGTCAAGGAATGGCTACAAGGGAGTTAGATAGTGCTGTTCTAAGTCTATCTGTGAATCCTAATATGGTATGTGCTGCTTCTACAATGACAGGTATTCATCTTATAAACTTTGCCAACAATGCGATGCCAACTTGCAGAGCAGATGGAGGCCGAATGAGTCCTCGGTACAATGCAATCGCTTGGAATGCCCAGGGTGATGTTCTGTATGCAGGTGGAGATAGTAACACTCTGGATATGTTTACTAGGAGTTATCCTGATGCAGAAACGTATGCAAGTTAAATGAGGAATAAAATCCTATTTTTCTTGCTTATTTTTCTCTGCTTTGGTCCCATTTTTTTTTTTCTTGTTTGTTTTATGAGCTTCGGAAGTTGTGTAAACGAAAATGGTAAAATAAAAAAAAAAAAAA